TGATTTTGGGCTTGGTTTGTTCTTCTTTTTCCAGTTCCTTTAGGTGCATTGTTAGATTGTTTATTTGAGATTTTTCTTGTTTGTTGAGATAGGCCTGTATCGCTATAAACTTCCCTCTTAGAATTGCTTTTGCTGTAACAGCTAGATCTTCAGTTAGCATGAGGGAAGCCATCTTAGGGAAAGGGAGCAATATTGTGACTCTTGACTCTGACTCACTAGTCTCTGTGAATACATTCTAGCCTGCACGTAGCCTAGATGATTCAGCACCTCTTGCTTTTGCAAAATACCTGACCTGCTAGTATGATGACTCTTGCTATGATAAGATGATAACTTTATTTTCTGAGTTCCCCAGGAACATGATGACCTCCAGAAAGAAGAACTCTGTGCTGGTACCCATCATGAATGACAGAAGAAAAAGATAATGTGGCACCTTGAAGTTCGTCACACCCAATGGTTGACGTCCCTAAACCCCCTCCTTCGCTGCCCTTTTTCCCTATATAACTGCCTCAAGATTCTGTATGATTTTAAGATGGCTCTTTAGGACACTAGTCCACCATCTTCCAGTTCTGCTGGCTAATCGTATAAACCTTCCTTTCTTAACCACTGGCTTGTTTGCAATTGATGGGCACCAGATTTTGGTGAGCAGAACGAGCCCCTTTCGCTCGGTTACACACACAGGCTGTGATTTCCGTCAGCCAGGAGTCTTTTCTGGAAGGCCCTGAGGGGACAACCCCCTCACTGAGCAGACAGTAAAGCAGCTGGAATCACAATGAGGGAGGTAAAGGCACCTTGGGGACCATGAAGCTCGTCTCAGGCTTTCATCTTACAGGTGAGGGAGGAAGCTGAGGCCCAAAGGTGAATGGTTCACCCAACAGCACACCCAGCAAGTCAGCGGCCAAGCCAGGAGAACGAAGCGGGTCTCCTTCTCCTCCTCCAGCTGCTGGGGACTTTCCTCCAGGACCCAGGCTGTGTGGGGCCCCAGAGCCCACTCCTTACCCCCACACCCAGAGGATGGCTGCACCTGGGCTCCCCGCCCGCACCCGATACCAAGGCTGCCGGGGAAAAGCCAGGCCGAAGGGGGGCCACTCCTCTGGGACCTCCTCAGCCCCCAGGTGGCTTGTGAATGAAGAGGCCCCTTCGGTCTGTGGTCCCTCCACCCCTGCCCAGGAACCCCCCCTCCCCTCCCACTTCATGGCTTCTCACCCTTCAGGTCTGGAAGAAGCCTCTCCCGCCCCCGCTGGGCTCTATCACTCAGAGCTCTAACCACGCTGTCACCTTTTCCTCCCTTGTCTGTCTTTTCCTCTACAGTGGAAGCTCCATAACAGCAGGGACCACCTCTCTCTTCTCTGTCTATTCCCAGCTTCTAGCCCAGTAAGTGTTGAAAAGATCCTTAAAAATTTTTTTTTAAGTTTTTTGCTAAGAATTTCTTGCATTCACTATTTTTCTTTGTTGGACTTGGCACATGCTTTCTCTTCTGCCTGTGATGTCTTTTTCCTCCTTATTTTCCTTGCTGACACCTACTCATCTTTCAAAACCCAGCTCAGCTGCCTCCTCCTCTAGGCGATCGTTCCTGAACGTTCAGTGGGTAACATCCCAGGCAGAGATGAGCGTCTCCGTCCAGCCCCAGAACAAGAAGCCTTTTTGCAGGCCCCCTAGTGGACCCTCTCCTGCGGGGGAGCTCTCTTAGGGTGCAGAGAACAACCTGGAACAGCAGGCGGAGTTCAAGCCACCTAAGCCCTGGGATCCCAACCTGGCAGACCGGGTGGGGGAGGAGACCAGCTGGTGGGCGAAGCCGGTTTATCGATGCTGCTGAGCCCTGGGGAAATCAAGGTGAAAGGCAGCAGCTCTGCTAAGGGGGAGGCCCACCCTTGTTTATCAATCAGAGGCGCTTCGACAGGGCAGAAAGGGGCTTGCCTGCCAGAGGCTGAGGAGGGAGACCCACACGCACTACCAGGGCCCTAGTGGACCCCAAATAAAGCCCTGCCTCCTGCCTCAGGCACTGTAGGTAGACGCTGTGGAGCCGGGGCTGACCACAACAGCTTTCCTAGTTCTAAATACCCGAGCTTGGTTTTAGAAAGTACGGTCACTGGAGCTATAAGGGCTGGATGATAAGACACTGTCAGGTACCAGGTGGTAGGGGAGCAGGCATACTCAAGTGGTCTCGGCCCAGTGGGTGCACTTGGGCTCTGGCCCTGGGAGCCTCTTTCACTCTCCTGCAGGTTTGGGTCGTACTGCTGATAGTGTGCTGACCCGTCAGCCTCTCAGCCTCCCAGCCAGGGCCCCATGGAGCAGAGGGAAACGAGCAGAGCCGGCCCAGCAGGATGGAGGAGGCAGGTGGATGACTTGAGCTGGGACACAGAGAGGGAACACGCGGATGAGGACGGATGAGAGGCCTGCAGAGAGGATCCAGGCTAGAATCCACCCAAGGAGCCAGGCAGCTGAAGGGGTAACATAGGGCTGCCATAAGCAGGGAAGGGGTTGGGGGTTGGCCCCTGCCTGACCCCTCCCCCACCCCAGCTGTCCTGGCAGAGGGAGCGAGCTTGGCATCCCACCTGCTGCACCCAGTGCCGAGGCCTTCTGAGCAGAGTGAAGATGTCAAAGAGAAAACCCCAAATCGGATTGAGGCTCCTGCTCCCCCTTAATGAGGTTCATTATCAGCTGCTCTGATTCTTGTAAAGCCCTGCAGGCCAGATTAGGGGCAGGCTCTCTAATCTGGCTGACTCCCCCCTGCTGAGCAGCCAGCCCAGGCCCAGCTCTCACAAACAAGCCCTCTCCTTCCTTGAAGGAGAGCTGGAGACGCAGGGCGCCCGGCTGAGGAGGGCCAGGCAGGGGCAGATGAAGGTTCCTGGAGCAGAACTGAGAGCCCCGAGGCAGAAGCTCCCCAGGAGGCTGTGGGAGGAGGGGGAGGCAGGATTGTACCTCCACTGAGGTCTGTGCCTGGTGCATGTGGAGACTGAGGGGCTTGGGGCATGGAGAGCTCTGTGGGCAGTGGAGGAGGGCCCCATCCAGGAGAAAGGGGCTATGACAAGAGTACCTGTCCCCTGCCAGCCAGGAGCTATGTGAGATGGAAGAAATCACATCAGGCCGGATCCCAGGCTGGATTCTGCACATTCTCTCCAGACCTGGACTAGGTCTCCAAGTAGTAAGTTAAAGAACACACTGCTGCTTGCCTTAACAAAAATAATTTATTCTACAACCCTCCCAAGCAGTGGGGTAGACTGGGAATCAAGCATGTGCACAGCGTCACCCTCCACTCTGACCTTTTTAACCTCTACCCAATGGGAGGTGGACCCTTGAGAGAGATGAGACGCCCCTCGCTCCCCTAAACCCAGCACCCCCCATATTCAAAGATTAGCATCTATTTTGGAGACCAAAATCAAAAGACAAAAGACCAGCTCCCAGAGGGGTGGAGCCAAAGGACACTGGAAGCAACCGTCTTTTCCCTGTGGCTTCACTCTCCCCCTCACAGCTAAGCCCAGAGCCAAGGCACTGTAGACCCCAACATCCCTCCCTAAGTCCCACACTACCCTCTCCTCAGGGCCCACCAAGCCAGCCACTCACCCCCAGCCCAGTGACCATTACCCTCCCAGCTGGGCAACCCCACACCAACTCCAGCCTGCGCTCTTCCTAGAGTGGAGGTTTGGGGAAGGAGCCAGCCAAGGCTCTCCTCCGACAATCCCTGACCCAAATCTCACCTGGGAAACCAGCATGACTTCCAGAAGCTTCCAAACCCCACCGGAAAGCCAAACCCCACCCAGGAGGTCTGAGGGGCTGGAGGATGGGCAGGCCACAGAGGGCCAGAGGCAGTCCTTCCATCTCTGGCATAAAGGCCTCTTCGCATCCAAAAGGGAGCGAAGACAGAGCCCTGGAATGTAGTGAGGAGTTCCACTCCAGCCCCGGGGACCCTCCTCTGGATGGGAAAACTTGGAAACTGTGGCCTCACTTGCCCCAGTTTAGGGCCAAGACCAAGTGAGAGACATTGAAGCTTCAGCGAGAATGGGGCAGTCCTGCCCCCAAGTCCTGGGGCAGGACTTCAAATAAGCTGAAAAAGAGGAATTCAGTGCTGAGAGGCCAGGGACAGAGGCTCTCAACCCCACTGCCCAAGGCAGCCCCCCCCACCCCGCGTCGTCAGATGAACCTGGACCCTGCGCACGTCTGTGTGTCTATGGAACACTCCTCCCCAGAAGGCCCAAGAAGGGTCACTGGAGCAACTGGTTTTCCTGGATTTCCCTGGACAAAGGGGGAGAGGGAAGGGGCAGTGTGTGGGGGGAGGGGGCAGCTGGAGGAATAGGGCAACAGGGGGAGGGGGAGGCGGGCAGAGGGGGAGGGCGGGGGGCTGGAAGAGCCCCATGGACGGCAGCTTCCTTTCCTGCACCCTCCCCAGCTGGACGGTTCAGGCTGCGGGATGACCAGCATGGCCCTTCAGGGCCCTCATCCTGGCCCGGAAGTAGGTGTACATGCCCAGCAGACCCATGAAGGACAGGGAGTAGAGCACCACACAGAGGCTGATGTCCAGGTGGGAGAAGTCCCTTTCCAGCACCTGCAGCCACTGGCCTCGGCCCTGCATGGCCCCAGCCTCTGGTTCCCCCTCAGGGACAATGGCCAGCTGCTTGGAGCTGCGGCCCACTCGCCTCAGCTCTGAAGGGCCTCTGGGGAGGTTCTTCTCAGCCAGGAACTCAGCCAGCAATACGGCTCCTGTGTCTCGCTTGGTCAAGCGTCGCTGCCCTTCTGGCTGCTCCAACTTATCCCTCTGAAGCTCTGCTGTGTACTCAGGAGGTCCCTCGTCTGGCTCAGCTGTGGTCACACCGAGGCCAGCGTGCATCTCCTGGGGGAGACTTTCCCCAAGTCTCTTCACTGGAACATCCCAGACGATGGTGCCTGGGCCTACTATGATCTCAGCCTTCTCAGGGCCCAGAGTAAAATTTCTGGTCACCAGCTCCAGCTCCACGGGCTTGGGGGCAGCTGCCATCCTCTGTGCCCCGCTCCGGGGGCCTGGCACAGCTGAAGGAAAGTCCAGGACAATGTTGCTCGGGGAGAAGTGGGTCTTTAAGAAGCTGAGGGTGTTGCTCAGATCCCACACAGGTGCATCCCGGAGTTCATTGTGGCAGGCAGAACAGAGCTCACGGGGCGGCCACTGCACCTTGGGGAACTGGGGGTCCTCGCTGGGGGCACCTGGGAAGGGAAGCACACACAGGCTGGCTGTGACACACTGGGCCCGCCTGGAAGCCCAGATCTCATTCTGCAACACCAGCTTCCTCAACTGCAAAAAGGGCTTCCCACTGCCCTTTGAAAGGATGGGTATGAGAAAAGGCAGATAACAAAAAGAAACTAGCACGGGGCCTGACCCACAGCAAGAGCTGACAATGGCACCTCTCAGGGTGCGGAGGATTCCCACCTGCCCCCACCCCCAGCCACAGTCCCCAGGGAAGTATGAGCAGCTCCGTCCCCGTTCCTGTGTTAACCCCTGTCTCCCCTCATGGACTCCACTGTTGGTTTGTACCCCTGGACCAGACACGAAAGGGCGGGAAGACTCAATGACCTGTCTTGTAGTCTTTGATTGCTCTGCTAGTATTTATCTTCTTTGCATTTTTTTGAAATTTTCTAAGTTTTATAGAGTGAAGATACATTACTTTGTAATTCCAGGGAAATGTTTTTAAAAACAAGAGTTTGTGGCACATGGTAATTCCACAGGTGGCCTCCTTCACCCCCGTAGCCTCTGGGGAAGGCAGGGTTGGTGGAATTCCTCCGCAGCTGGGCTCCAAGGGGTGGGTATAGGGAGGCCGGGGGGTGGGGGGGGGCCTAGCTGGGAAAAGGGCCCCCGAGAGAGTCAGGAAAGGCACGGATGCCAGGCTGCTGGGACCCCAAGAAGGCATGCCTGAGCCCCAGGCTGAGCCCCAGAGGGCCTACCACGAGCCCCTCGTCCAGTGTCACCCAGGGAATGCCAATCAGCCCATCTCCCTTGTAGGAGGCACCTCTCCTAAAGGGTTTAACAGGAAAAAAAGTTTCTGGCCAGAACGAAGCAGCAGCAAGTGACATAAAAGTCAGAATGGTTGTTTTGGGGAGGGGGCAACAAGTAGATTCCAAGGGTCCAGTGAGGAGCAATAGTGAGTGCGCCTTGTGAAGTGAGCAGTCAATTTGGACCTGCTCATTACTGTTGTTGGTTTGATCTGAAAGGGCCCCTCTAGAGAGGGTAGGGTACTGCCTTCCTTTCGGCTCCTGGCCCTCCAGCAGCAGCTGGTCCCCAAGGGAAGCTGGGAGCCTGCTAAGGTCACGGGGCTGGATGGTCAAATGGAGCATTTGGTGGCAGGGCCGGGGAGGGAGGGAAGGGGTGGGAGGAGAGAAGGGCACGCGTCTTCTTTTCAAAGTCCACCAGGAGGCCCCAGGAGACAGACCAGTGCTGCGCCTGCCCCACCACCTGCGCCGTTCAGCTTCTTTAACCTCAGCCCTGCCCCAGGCCGCATCCCGCCTCCCAACCCTGGGAGGTCTGTGGCAGCCACGTGCACTCCTCTCTCCCCTCAGACAAGCCCGGGGTCCTGCCCACAGTCCACAGATGGCTCCTGCCCCCCCCCACCCGCTTCTGGTCACCAGTGGAGTTCAACGTTTTTGCCTGTTGGACCCATCAGACTCCTGTGCGTGGGGGACCAGAAAACACTGGAAAGAGGGAAACTCAGAGACAAGGCCTCCCTCTGGGGAATCTGTCCCTAGTATTTCTAGGAAGGACCTGGTCTGTCTTTTCCAGCATATTTTATCATTAGAGCCCTCCCAGGGGGTGGAAAAGCCCAGATCCCTCCTCCTTATTGCTTTGAGTAAGGGGCCAATAGCCAGAAAGCAGAACAGGGGAGGCAGGAGAGGGGCCCCAACAGGCCAGAGGGAGAGGCCCTGGTGCAGGGGAAAGAGTGAGCACTGGCATCAGAAGCCCAGTGTCTTAGAGGGTCAAAGACTCGGTTTTCTCATCTAGAAAATGGGTCTAACAATACTGACACATCAGCAGGGCTGGTAGAGCACATGAAAGGGCTCTGTGTACATTGAAGCATTGGGACTCCACAGTTTCCCCACCTCCTCTTCCCTCTGGAGGTGACTCCAGCCTTGGAGGTGGCCCTTCCTTACCTGCGAGGCGAGCATTGACCTTGTTGTGGCTAGACCAGAACCAGAGGACCGCGCTGTTTGGACTCTCCACCTGGTCCATGGAGGCAGCAGCCATCTGCTCAAAGTGGCCAGCACACTCTCGGCAGCCAAAGAAGGAGCGGACGTAGCCGCGGACAGCCTGGAGGACCTCCTGGGCCTTGGCTATGGGGGGAGGAGATACCATTCACAGCGGCCCTTCAGGCCACCTGCCCCTGCCGGCCCACCACTGTTCCCTCCACAGGCCCACCATGGTCACCCCTGGCCAGGGACCCCACATCCCGGCCCATCCAATGACAGGCTCAGGGCGTCCTTGCTGACTTCTCCACTTTCCAAGGGTCACTTTAGAGTTGTCCCCATCTCCTCCCAAATTCCTAAACCCCAGTTTCCCTTCTCTGCCACTCATCCCGGCCCTTGTCACTTACTGACACTCAGCATAGAGTCCAAACTCATCAGCAGGACGCTCGTGCTCTGTGAGATGTAGCTGGAGAGGCAGGCAGGGGATAGCGTGCCCACCGCCCAACCTCGTGCCCCTACTCTGCCTCCTCGCCCTAGGCTTCCTGTTCCTTCTTGCACCCCATCCTGCCTCCTCCCTTGGGCACTATGTCAGGAGTCCACCCTGATCTGGCTCTACACATCCCTAATTTGTCTCCATCTCCCCTCACCCCCCATTCTCTCCCACCGGGCCCTCAGGACTGACCTCAGCACAGGCCTCTGAAGACTCCCCCACTTTCCAGCTCTGACTGATACTGGGCACCTCCCTGAAGATACCACTGCTCCCCCAAATATGCCCCTCTTCCATCCCTTTGTCTCCCACACTCCAGAGACCTCAGGGCTGGAGGTGGTGGAAGTACCCTCCCTGCTGTTGGCTGCTTCCAGACTCTCCTTTCTGCTGCAAACCCCCGGCTCTTTCAAAGCCCATCTCCTCGTCTCACCTCTCCATCCACTAGGACATCAGCACCCTGAGCTCTAACCTGCTCACCACCACTCCCCACATGATCCTTCCAGCAACTTCAGCACCCAGAACCAACGGTGCCTCGCCTCTCCCCTCCTCGGCCCCCTCAGCAACTCCTTCTCCTGCACCCACCCCCATCACCCTGCAGCCCACCACCTGCCCTGCAGCTGTACTTGCCTCGTCCGCCTGCCCTCCTGCCCTCCTGCTCTGACCTTACCCTTCTAGCCTCCTCCAGGATTTTACTCCTGTAAATATTTTCTTTTGTTATTACATCATCAGCTTCTCCCTTAACATGGGATCATTCAACAGGTAAAAACTACTGCAACTAGGAGATCCCTTCTCTGACCCCAGTTCCACTCCAGTTACCTCCCCATTATCCCCAATTTCTTCCCTGCTCCTCTCTCTTCAGCCCAGTCCAACCAAGCCTTTCTCTCCACTGCTCCACGGAAACAGCTCTTGCCATCTTGCACCACCTCCAGCAGCACAGCAGCATCCACTCAGCTGACTATACCCTCTCCTCCTTGAAACACTTTATTTTGGGGGCCCTCTTGAAATCGCAGGGCTGCTCCTTCTTGGTCTCCTTTGCTGGCTCCTGCTCCTCTAGCAAAGGTCTGGATGCTGCAGCGCCCTGGAGCCCAGGCCTCAGCACTCTTCTCTGCCGACCCACTCACGGGCTCATCCAGCTCCGTGGCTTTACCTATCATCTGTGTGCTAATGACCACAAGATGTGTATCTCTCTCCTGGACCTCTCCCCAGAACTCCAGACTCAGCTGTCTACATCTCCATTCACTTGTCTAATAGCTATAAACCATAAACTCTACCCTCCCCCCAATCTACTCCCCCGACCCCTGACCCTTCCCCTTTCTCAGCTCATAGGACCATCAGCCACCAGGTGCTCAGGCCCAACAACTCCAGGTCCACCCTGAGTCCTCAATCCTGCACACTCTTCATTTAATCCACCACTGAGTCTTCTCAGCTCTACCTGCAAACTATTCCCAAATCCCACCACTTCTCCCACGTGCACACCTACAACTTCAGTCCAGGCTACCACTGCCTCTCCTGGACTAGTTCCACAACTTCCTAACTGGCTGCCCTGCCTCCACCTTGCCCCACTGTAGCCCGCCCTCCACCCAGCAACCTTTCTAAAGTATAAATAATTCTCATCACTCCACGCTTCAACTGTCCAGTAGATTCTCCTAATGCTGTAACTGAAATCCACACCCCTCCCTCACCAAGACCTCCAAGCCTGCATGTGCCCACCTCCTCACCGGCCTCCCCCACTCCCAGGCTCTGCCACACTGCCCTCCTTTCGGTGCTGCAAACATGCCAGACTTGTTCTTGGCACTTGCCAGTCCTTGACCTGTGTTATGGGCTGAATTGTGTCACCTAATATTCATAGGTTGAAGTCCTAACCCCCAGTACTTCACAATGTGACTGTATTTGGACAAAGGGTCTTTAAAGAGGTGATTAAGTTAAAATGAGGTCACCAGGGTGTGTCCTAATCCAGTATGACCGGTGTCCTTGTAAGAAGAGGAAATTTGAACACAGATACACACAGAGGGAAGACCACGTGAAGACACAGGAAGACGATGGCCATCTACAAACCAAGGAGAGGCCTCAGCAGAAACCAACCCTGCTAACACCTTCCTCTTAGACTTCCAGGCTCTGGAACCATGAGAAAATAAATTTCTGTTGTTTAGGCCACCCTGTGTGTAGTACTTTGTTATGGTGGCCCTAGCAAGCCAATACAGCCTGGAAGGCTCTCTTTCCAGAGGTCCCACGGCTGCTTCCCCCTCACCATTCAGGTCTCAGCACCGGGTCACCTCCTCAGAGAAGCCTTCCCCAGCCATCCTGTCTAAACACAGCATCCCCTCCCTGACCCTCTCCCACACCACTTGGCTCTGTCGGCTTCAAAGCATTCATCACCGTACCTGAAATGATCTATCTGTGTGTTTACTGTCTGTCTCCTGCCACTGGAATATTGTCCCCTTGAGGCAAGGACGTCTCATCTCATGTACCGCTGTACCCCACCCCTAGAGCAGGGCCTGGCACTCTGGAGACACTCCATGAATACCGGGTGACAGACTGGCTGGCTGTCCACACGCCCTGCAGAGACTCTAATTCCCTCTGCCTCTGCGCAGGCCTGCCCTCTGTCGGGGAGGCTCTTCCTTCCTAGCTCAACTCTCTCTTTCTATCATCGACCCTCACCTTGCCTCCTCTTGCCTTTGCCAACGGCGTGGAGCATTTCCTCTCTTCTGCCCGCACACCCTCCGCTCCCCCTTGGCTCTTGGCCCTGGCACGCTGCAGGGCGGCTCTTTGTACCCCCGCGTCATAATCCACTGAGAGCGCGGACTGTCTCTTTCACCTGTGTAGCCTCCGGCTGAGCCAGGGCCTGATGGAACCTTGGCCCTCGGCAGACGTGGACTGAACTGGAGGCCCACCTTTTCCGTCGGGAAGCGAGGGCGTGAGGCAGGGGTGGGGGAGAGCAGCTGCACAGTTTGGGGGAGGGAACAGGGCAGGAGGAGCAACGTGCTTTCCCAGCTTCCCCTAGAAAATGATTTTTTAGCGGGAAACAACGAAATTGTTCAAAGTATGTGGTATCAGCCACGTAAACTCTGAAACAGATAGAGTTCTTTTCTTTACAGGAATACAAAAAATAGAACCACAAATTTTCATGAAGACTGAAAACAAAGCAAGCTTGTGGCTCTGAGAAAGTCAAGGAGAAGCCTCACACCCCTGAGCTTGTGGGGCACCACCCTGGGGCAGGGGACAGGACTGGGTGGCTTTTCCAGGTCCCCCCCCAACTCTGGTTCCATGCTGCAAATGCAGAATCCCCTCAATAGGAGCCTGCAGCAGGGAGCCCGAGGAGGGCAGGGCAGGGCAGGGCTGAGGCCAGGGAGCACGGCCCCGCACTCACCTCTTTCTTGTGAGTGGTCTAAATTTTGCTGAGCTGCCTGCACGGTCAGGAAGTGGAAGAGGATCCACAGGGAGCAGGGAAAGCCTCGGAAATGTGGCTCACTCCCCTGGCAGCCGACCCAGTTCACCTTCTTGGCAATCACAGTGCCCTAAGGGACACACACGAGCGTGAGTACATATAGGGAGAAGAAAAAGGATGGGATGGGAGGTGAGGAAAGAAGCTTCCAGAAGACTCAAGAGTCAGCACACAGCCCTAAGATGTATGAGGTCCCTCTCAGTCTATCACCTCGAAGGTGGCCTTTCCCTTCCACCGGCTACACCCATCAAAGGAGCACAGATCTGAAAACCTGTGACACAGATCAAGTCATATCCTTAGTCTAGCCTCAACATCCCCACCTGTAAAATGAGGGAGGTGGTCTCTGAGGTCCCTTCAAGCTTTGACATCCTACAAATCAGGACGGTTTTGTGCCTCTGTTGGCTGTATGTGTTGGCCCACCACACTGTTAGAAAACAGTGGTGTGCACAGGAGCCCAGAAAGGTGCCCCTGGAGGGGCTGGAGAAACTACGCTGAGGAGCACCAGGTGCTTGGAGGCAACAGAGAGCAGGAGCTAAAACTCTCTCACAACCAGCATCTCACAATGGGTCTTAAATCCCAGCCCAACCACTTACTGGCTGTGTGATCTTAGACAAGTCACTTAGCCTCTCTTAACCTCAGTTTCTTCATCTGCTCATAATGTCTACCTTCCACTAATGTTGGGAGGATGAAGTGAGATATGCATAGAGAGCTCAATAAAAATAGTTTGTTACTTACTAATGGAAGGAGCCAACCAAGAACACTGACTCCTTCCTGAATGCAAATTTGTGAAGGAGGTCAGAGGTTGCAGGGTTAACCCCTTCCATTCTCATTGTTATGAGGAGAGGGAGAAGATCTTCAATTGCTTCCCAGACTCACCTCCTTCCTGTTGTCCAAGACATTTTTAAAGGAACTGTAGGGAATCTTCTTTCTCTGCTGCCTCTTGAGCCAGTCACTCACGGCGTGCAGGAAGTTCTGGACTAAGGGCCGGCCAGGGAAGTACTGTGGGGAGGAATGAGTGGAAGTTAGAGAGTGAAAAACAATCCCCCGAGTTCCACAGTCCAAGAGAGGGTAGGGGGCTAGGCAGAAGGGGGCCAAGGCAGTTTTTTGGAATGTTCCAGAACCACCAGGAAAGTGTTCTGCCTAAGACACAAAGGTGGGTTCCTCACTACCTTTGCTCTGGGGTACCTGCTAAGGTGAGAGGAAGGGGTGGGGAGCGGACAGAGGCTCTAAGTGAGGCTGGGCCCTTAAGGCCTCCCCTTCTTGAGGCTGAGGGCTCGTGCTGACCCCTGCCCACACGCTGCCACCGGGAGGAAGGCTGAGCTCCACTGTCACTTCCCAGAGCCCCTGGGAACCCTGGGCCACACGGTCCCTTCTTCATCCTCTGATAGAGCAGCTGACTAAGTGACCAGCTGGGCAAGGCTGGCAAACGGCCTTTCATTTGTATTTCATGGGCTGCCAGTGGGGACAAGCAGCCCAGGGGCTTATAGCCAGGATCCAAATCTTGATGGTAACTCCCAATAGTCTCTGAGGAACATGAAAAGCTACTCTGACAACAAGTCAACTCAAATCTGATTAGTATCAGCACTTTAAAACCACAAGGACTCCAGGGAGGAGGGCAGATGTAAGGGTGTGTGCACGTGTGCGCACGCATAAACACACCGGGGGCGGGGGTGGGGGGAGAGGGATGCAGCAGCAAGCTGGTCAGATGAAACCACGAAGAGGCAGGTCAAGAGGACAACGATCCTGAGAAACTCACGGAGGAAAAAGAACAAAGAAAAAAGACGTGAGAGAAGAAGGGTGCTGGAGACAGGAATGATCACTAAACAGAAAAACCTGCCAGTGGATCCAGCCCTCTGAGAAAGCCATCACACATTCTTATCAAATCTCCAGGGCTGGACACTGTCCCCCAGCAGGAGAAGTGGCTGGAAAGAATCTTGTGGTTTGACACGCTCCCTCCCGGTCAGCCCACATGGGCCTCTGGGCTCTCAGTACAAATTTACAGCTTCAAGTCAGCATTTCTCACTGACCTTCGCCCGTCATCCTGACTCGGAACCTCCGCCATCTAAGGCCACGGGGTCAGGAGGAAGGATGAGTTAAGGGCTCTGGACTACAGGGAGTCACCCTCTGCTGGGAGCAGGGAAACCCTGGTGACCACACGCCACCCAGTGGCCAGTCCTGCCAGCCGCTTCCGTGAGGGAGCAGGGAGACCCCAGCTCAGGCGGGCAGGGGCAGGAGGGCACCCAGGACTTGCAGAGTGCCTCCCGACTGGGCATACTCAGAGCTGACGGTCCCAAGGGCTGAGCAGGCAAAGGGAACACTATTGCCCCCAGGCTCTCCGCGCCCCATGCACGCGGCGGGTGAGTGCAGGGGTCAGATGAGACATGGGTACAAATCTCAGCTCTGCCACTCGCTGGCTGGAGCACCCTGGACAAGGTACTCTGCTCCCCCGGGCCTCCACTTCCTCTCTGTATGATGGGATAGCGCTAGTACCCACCCCGTGGGGTGTGTTATGAGAAATACAAATAAACTAACACAGAAAGAGCACTTTGCAGAGTCTGGCACCCTGTCAGAGCTTAAGAAATGGTAGGCGCTACTATTATTACTACTCAGGCAGGAGCTACCCAAGCAAGGGCAGCGCCAGAATACTCTGCCGTCTCCACAGGACGGGATGTGGGGCACAGCTCAGACAGAGGCCCTCGGAGCCGGCCCGCAGGCCCCCCCGCTCCTGCTCCTGAGTAGGCCTAGCTTCCCTCTGTCCTCTGCCCAAGGCCAGCCCTGTGCTCTCTGAGGGCCCTTTTCTGGCACGGAGGTTCCTCACCCCAAACCCATTTCTAGCACTTGCTGAAGGCAGAACCTCAGCAGGCACCACCCAGAGGGGGCTGCGTAAGCCTCTGCCCAACGCAGTCATTTTCTGGCTCTTTCTTTCCCCTCACACTGGCTATACACAATCCCATTGGGGGGCAAACGAAAACCAGCTTCAGTTCAGCTGAGAGATGCACGTAGCACACAAGAAGCAATTTCCCTGGGATGCTTCCTTCGGAGGGAATGGACTGCAGGGTGGGGGGGGGGTGCTGTCTCGTCTCCTTCTGGGGGATGCCTGAAAAGCACCCTGGGGCTCCCCCTCATGTGTCGGGCAGGAGGAAGCACACAGAACCACTCAAGTTTCTCTCATTCTCTGGGCCAGCCACCCCTGGCCTCAGTGAATTGGGGACCGAGCAGCTCGCAGGGCCTCTGAGGAAAGGCCCTGTTATCAGAGTGGACTGAAGAACAGGGGCTCTGTCCGCGTGGGCCCTCTGTGAGGGGTGACGGCTGTCTTGCCTGAGACTGTGACAGCAGTCTGTGACAAGCGCTCGCTACCTCACGGGGGCCTCTCGGGGTAATCACACCTGCACATGACCGAGCCAAGCAGGCCGGAAGGGCAGGACTAGTAAGGCGGGGAAGAGGGACGAGGCCGGCAGGCAGTTCCCCAGGTAGAGGCGCAGATCACCCCCAGCTGCCTGCAGACCTGTGCGGAGAAGGAAGGGCTCGGACCTGGCACCCAGGCTGAGGATGGCTAAGTCAGCAGTCAGGCTCTGAAGGGGACGGGAGCCCGTATCTGACTCAGCAGTCCTCAGCAGCTGAAGCCTGGGATTTAAGTAGGACAGCCCTGGCAGTGGACCTGGAACCTAAGAGAAGGATGCAGGGAGGGAGAGGGAGGCAGGTGCAGAGGGAAGACATCTCACCTTCAGAGCAGAGACAGGGGCCTGCAACCTCAGTTCAAATCCTGACCACCTGGGAGGCCTAAGGCAAGTCACTTGAGCAACCTGGGCCTCTCAAATGAGGGTAATACTTGCCACCCTGCAGCGAAGTTAAGAGGATTAAATGCCTGACACACAGCAGGTCCTCAGTATGTAGGAGCTATACTTCCTGGAGTAGCCACGCTGGCAGGAAACCACAAAGGAATAACGACAGCACAGCCGGGGCCAGGGACCTGGGCCAGACTGTGGTTGGTGTCTGGGAGGGAAGAGAAAAGCCTTCTTTCCTTCACTGTGGGTCCTGCTTTCCCAATGACCACGGCAGGGAGTGAGGGGCCACACTCCAGGCTCAGACTGAGGGTGAGGACTCAGGCAGGCAGAGCCACGGTCATTGAGTCAGCTGGGAATATCCCCAGGGCATCTGGCCCCAGTCTCACCCACCCCCCTGCACAGGGTGCGATGCGGAGGGGAAGGAGGCTGTCCTTGGCTGCGCGGGGCTGGTGTGGTATGGCTGAGACTGCAGGGTAGCAGTCCATGGTGGACCGGGACAGCTGTGGGTCCAGATGTCCTGCCAGACCGCGAGCTCTGGAGGGAAGGGCTGGGCTGACCCCTGCAGGCTGGCACAGCGCCTGGTCGCAGGATGTGCGCTGATCCCACGTAGAGCCGCACGGACGAGGGGGACCAGGGCGCTGCTCACCTGGGCCAGCACTGCCATAAACTTTTTCAGGGCCATCAGGCGCTGCCCCTCCAGGACAGAGAACTTGCCCACTTCTACCCGTAGGACGTAGTGCAGCGCAGATTCCAGGTCAGCCATATAGATCTTAGAGCTGAGGATCCAGAGGGAGGTAGAGAGAAAAAGGGGTATTAACCACGAGGCACGGGCTGGGGAGGGTCAGCCAGGGCTAGAGGGAGAGAAGAGGGGAGCGCTGCTGATGGTCAGAGTCTTACAGGTTAGCACCTGGCTCTGCCAGTAACTAGCTGTGTGACCTCGGGTACATTCCTGAACTTCTCTGAGCCTCAATTCCTCATCTGTAAGATGGGGATAATAAATTGCTCACAGGCAGGTTGCTGAGAGGATTAAATAAAAGCACAAAAGTAAACCCCTCAGCAGCTCCTGGCATACAGCAGGGTCCCCCTCTGCAGGCCCAGGGCCAGCCCCTCCCATGACTCACTAAAGGTGTTTTAATCAGGCCACTAGTGGAGGGTCGAGCTTCATTCTCTGTTCTGAACAAAGACCTCTAGAGACAGACAAAGAGACCAACAGGTACACCACACAGCATGGCTCTGGAAAACCGAGGCCCTCTCTGAGAGACCAAGGGTCTGGCTGCCCACCAATGCTCAGCACAGTAGGAGTGGGGGTGGGAGGGGAAGCGGTGTGTGTGTGTTTATTTGGGGGCTGATGTCCTTGCAGCTGCCAGACCTCGGGTCAGGCAGGCCTCCATCTCACGCCTCTTGGGTGGAGCCCAGCCCCAGGGGAAGGGTTATAGGATCCAAGGTGGCTGCTCCACCCTGTGCCCCTCATGCTCATTTGGGGTCTGGGCCCCGGGGTCTGACGGGAAGGGCTCCTTGAGCGCTGGCTTCTTCTCGACCTCTGCCTCCTGAGCCCTGGCTTCTGGCCTCAGGTCGACAGCGAGCTGGCTCTGGGAGCCGGGCAAGTCTACCTCTCTAGGCCTCCGAGACCTCACTTGGGAAAGGATCTGATTATCCTGTCCCACCCACCACCTGGGGCTGTAGGGAGCCAACAAGGTCAGCTAACTGGTATGCACTGTTACCTCCCCCCCCCACCCCCCGTGCTTCACCCTCAAGGCAAAGGCCCTTCTCTGTGCTCCACTGTGGTGGCTTTGGGCCTCAGTTTACCCCTCCATTCTTGTGTGCTGACTCAAGAAGTGGCCCCACGACTAAAAGAGATAATGTACGGAAGGGGCCCAGCGCACAGTTTGGCACATAAGGCCAGTAAGTATCAGCATTATAATAATTTGAACAATTTGAATAATCAAAATTTGAAGGATCATAATGACTGTTCCCACCTCTTAGTCTCTCCTTCTACCCTGATTTACTAAAAAAATCTCTCCATTAGCAGTTTCCACCCTTGAAGTCCCTCATGCTAGGATGCAAAATCCTTCTTGAAATCAGGTGACCTTTCCCCCAGTTCTCTAGTGCAGCCCCTGCTGGGGGCCGCCTTCCAGACTCAGCTCTGAGCTCCCTGGTCAGCTGTTTTCACTTAGTACCGCCTCTGGGTGCCAGCGCAGGAGGTTTATGCCCCATCTCTCTGCCCAACAAGCAGGAGTTCTCCCATGAGAACAGAGTCAAGGAGCCTGGGAGAGAAGACAGCTTCCTCATGTTTACAACAGTGCACAAAGATACAGGCTACCTCAAAAAGTAGTGAGCTCTCCGACAACAGAGGCACTCAAGCGAGGTCAGTGCCTTCCTAGAAGGGATGCTGTGAAGGGACTGTAAACTCTGTGCGGGCAGGGACTGCGTACCTGTACACATCTGTAGTACAGTGCCCAGCGCATAGCAGGTACTGAAAAATATTTGCTGAAGAAATAACTGCTTAGGTGGGAAGTTGGTTTGGAGGTCACAGATTACCCTTCCAAGCTGATTCTACTTGTTCTTGAGTAGAGTTAAGTGTAAGGAATGTGGGCATTGGAAAGTATCTGTTCCATCATGAAGGACACAAGTGACTGCTGGCCGGCAAGCCCCATGGTCAGTGGTCGCAGAGGAGGCCACCAGTCCACTGCTGCTCCTGCACATCTCAGACCACTGCACATAGCCACGGCCAGCCCTCAGGGGGTCTGTGATCAGAGGAAAGGCTGGGGTGGGGGAAGGGAGAGGAGAACTAGGCGTGGCCTTACCGATCTGCAACTTTCCACACAGTGGGAGCTATCGTATTAGCAGTGATTGGTGCGACTGTGGTCTGGGCAGCCCCCCTGGAGAACTTCTGCAGGTAAGCAGTGTAGAAGGACCTGGATTCCATCAGCCTGTGAGGGAAGAGAACCACAGAGGAGAGGTGGTGAGTACAGACAAACGAAACCCCAGCGCTAACTCATGTCAGGAGAGGAGGCGGGTGGCTCATCTGACAGAAATATTTAAGAAATATCTAACTTGGTCTTATCCTGAGTGAGGTCAAAATCGGGGCACCCATGCCTCACTTTAACCTTTTTCTTCACTGCTTATGCTGTGGAAAGCCTCTTTGACACCAGTCTGATGTCAAAATCCCTTCTGGAAAAGCAGCTGGGCCTGAGAACTCCTCAACTTGCCCTGGAGAGGCTGTGGGACAGAGCACCTTGAAGAGCAGGTGGCCCCTCTAGGGACAGTGCTCAATCTGCCCGAGGACAGGAGGCTGGGTTTGACTACCTTCCCCAGAGACCAGAGATGCAAAATGGCAGCTGACCTCAAGGATGCTGCCCGCTCACAAGCTTGCTCTGAGGTAGCAGAGGTGACATTACTCTCCAAGGAAGTCAAGGGAGTTTGACACGTGATTTTTAAAAAATAGATAGCAGCAGCAACAACCAGACACTAAAATTTTCAAATCCTTCGCTTTCTTTCTCTCCTCTGATAGAGAGGAGTCCTCAAGGGCAGGAGACGCCTCCTGGTCAGGGCCACCTGGAGGGAGGGATGTGAAGGCCAGCAGCGGTGTGACAGGACACCCAGGCGAGCTGGCACTGGGGAGCATTGCTTTCCACTTCGCTGTCCTGGCCCAGTGTTTATCGACAAGCAGATGGCTCGGAAGCAGCGTCGTCACAAACAATTTTCCCCTCCACCAGCTCCAAGCGAGGAGACAATGCCTCCTCTCTCCACCAGGACTGGTACTTTCCACCCCTCCCTGTCCGCCTGTAGTCATCATGCTCCCTTCCCCTGGCAGAACTCTCTGACAAGGCCTGGCCCAGGGCTGCCTGGTGATTCGGGCCAGGGCCAGGCGAGGGCAAGTAGTTGCCCTGCCCAGCCTCAGTGCAGGATGGCGTTAATGGCCCCGAGGAGCAGCTCATTGGGCAGCGCAGGCAAGCCTTGATCTCCCTGGCCCTTGAGTGCCTGCCTGCAGGGCCAAGCTGACAGCAATCATCTGCCCAGGGAGGGTACCAAGGCACCATCTGGCGCCATTTAACGGGCCATTCAGCAGCGGGAGCCTGACAGAGGGGCTGCGGCTGGCCTGATTGTTTTCTCTTGGCATTTTGGAACTGGCTATTGTCTGGCTCCTAATGAACTTTTCTGCAATTAGAAAACCAAAGGGAGGGAGGGTCAGGCATATCTGAGTGCTTGCCAGGCCTGCAGCCTGCCAACGCATCTGTCTCAGAGGAGGATGGGGAACAGGGCCAGGGCTGCGGTGGGGATGGTGCAGAAGTGCCAACTCTGGGTGCGCCAGGGGCCTGAGGCAGGACTCTGGACCTGGGGGCTGGGGGCAGCATTCCAGGCCCAGTCCCCGGGCTGTAGAGGCGCTGTCCCACCTGCACAGGCAGATATCTGCTTCTCCTGCAGAGTGCTCCTTGCCCCCCGCAGACTCCTCAGAAGAAGGATCGCAGGAGAAAGAACTTGCCAGCTCCTGTAAAAGGCTGGCAGCCTCTCTAGGCAGGAAGAAAGGATGAGCACAGGGAACGGGGGAGAAGGGGACAGAGAGACATTGCACTCACACGGGCACCCGGGAGAAAGAGCCATTCCGAAACAGCAGGTAGCAAGATGGGAAGTTGGTGACACCAAACTTGCTCACCACGTCGGCCTCCGTGTTCAGGACCCTGCGTACTGCTATGCCTTGGTGCTGGGACAGGTCCAGAGTCACCTGCAGAGACAGTCAGACATCTGGGAGGCCAAGCCATTGGGCAGAGGGGGCCCTGGGTAGGCACCTGGTAGCAGCTGTGCTCCACTGACTCTGAACTTTCAAAAAGTAGGCTGTTGTGAGAGTGACAAAGTCTCACGCCACCAGCTGCATCTAACCCACAGGCAACAAGTGACAAACACCACCTGAGAGGAGGGGCCTTGGAATTGTGCAGACTACACAGCCTGAATTTTCTAGAGCAGTCCCAATTGAATTTTCTTTCCAATGCAAGCAATTCGTAAAATGTGGTTTCATTTTTATTCTTATATTTATAAGGCTTTCTATCTATATTCCAAATCAGAAAAATATACTTAGACATGATGATTTTATTTTTAGAAAGAAATAAGGAGGGGAAACATACTATTAGCTACCATTTATTGAGTATGTATTACGTGCTGTAGATAGATTATTTCATTTAATCTTCCAGATAACTCTAGACACAGGACCCGTCATTAGGCTCATTAGGAGCCCAGGCGAGGCTGCGCAGGATGCTAGGGCTGCCTGGGCTTGAATCCTGGCCCCACCAGCCTACACCGCTCCCTGACTTGATTTCTTTACTTGCAAAATTGAATAACAACACCAACCTCACAGAGCTGTGAAGAGGATTGAATGGGTTAATTTTATCTAAGTGCTTATAACAGTGACTAGCACACAGTAGGTATATAAGTAGTCATTAAAAAAATAAAACTATTGTAGATGAAGACACTGAGGCTTAGACGTGAAGTCACGCATCCAGCCAACAAGCGCCAGAGCCGGGCTGTGAATCCCAGGTCAGTCCGGCTCCAGAGCCCGGGCTCTCGGCCACTGTGCCCTCTTGCCTCTCAGTCTTACCATCCCTGAGCACCTCTGCAGGGACATGGGGCTCCCGACTTGGTCCACAGGGGCCCCTGCCCCTGGTTACTCAGTGGACCAGGGTCGGAGGGGTAAAGAGAAGAGCTGATTCCAATCAGCATTTATCAGTCACCTCTACGTGACGGGCATGACCCCAGGCATGGACTGGGACCCCATAAGGGGTAGATACTCCTTCAGCAAAGCTCTCTGCCCCCTCCCCACACCCCTGTGCTTCTCCTCTCAGGACTGCGAGGTCTCGAAGTAGCTCAGAGCTTGATGAGTTTCAGGAGGAAAACGATTTAGAGCCAACAGTGGTGTTTCCACTCTTGTGTCTCTTCTATTTCCTGGCACTGCCTTGGAACATCTCCCACGCACTGGCCCGTCCCTTTGCATCTGGGAAAGGCCCACGATTGGTCTGCAGAAGTCCACGAGCCAGCAGTGAAATGGAGAGCTCTCTGCATGAGTCCAGAGGAATGGATCTTTATAAAGCACCAAAAAAAATAAAAACTCTGTGCTAGCTACTAACCCAGGCCCTTTGCCTAAACTGCTTTATTTGACTTTCCCAACAACACTGTGAAGAAAGGTCATTATCACTACTTTATAGACAGGGAGATGAGGCTCAGAAAAGTTGAGTAACGTGGTAAGGACACGTCATGTAAGTGATGCAGTGCCCGTCCTGTTATCTGCTTCACCTGGGCAGGGACCCCATTTCCTCACGAGGGACAGGAGGATCTCTGATGTTCCCTCCCCCACACTTGTGACTCCAATTCTACACGGCGGGTCGTGTGGAAACAATGTGGGCTGTGGAGGCAGACAGACCTGCTTCAAAGCCCGGCTCTACCAAGTCACCGGCCCTGTGATCTTGGACACGTTATGTGATCATCTTCGTTAATTGTGAAGATTAGCAACTATATGTGTCAGTAATCTAGTCCAATGCTCAATAAACAGCAGGTGTTATCATATTTGGTTTCGATGAGGGAGATAAAACAGTCACAAAGGTTTTAAAACAAGAAGGTCCAGCTCCTGCACTTCCCGTTTCTCCCAGCAGGGGTCAGGCCAGTGCCGGGCTAAGACGTGCCCGTGGACGAGACCCTAGAAGTCGCAGATAAGCCTTGCTCCTGAACTCATTGGCTCTCCCCAACGATACGCAGGAGTAGCAGGGACTCTGAGGGCAGCTCACCTCTCTACCCAGGTAGGAGCTTTCCTTTTCAAAGATCAGGGCCAGGTACTCTTCGTTGTTTCTATCAAAGAATTCATCAATCTCCTTCAGCCTGCAAGAGACAACGCCGGCAGTCACTCTCCACAGCCGGTGGGAATAAAGCAAAACTGCTCCTGACACCGGATGTGGCTGACACAGTACTGTGAGCACAGCCATGAAACTTCCTCCTCTTTCCCACACAAGGCCTTGGGGAGGTCTCCTCCACCAGCCCTCCAGTGGGAGTAAACCAAACCCTTAGTCTCAAAGGATGGTGCCTGTTACCTACCCCTGGTTCTTCATCTCACCCACCTTGATTTGTTTTTCATCCCATCTTTTTAAGAGTCAGGACTGAGCATGAGGCTGTCCGGGGAAGAGCACTGGGGAGGGTGCTTTGAGATCAGGTGTCTATGTTCTGGGAAAGGCCCAGGCTTAGTGAATATGGTTTGTATTGGTCCCCTAAGAGACTGGTGTTTATAACCCATCAGACACAAGCCTTGATCTGTGGCAAGTCACCATCAGCTGGGAGGTTTGCTTTTTCCTCTCCTGGAGCAGGCATAAAAAGAGAATTAAAGAATCAGAAAGTCCTGGGCGCAGGAGACCCTAGAAGCTATCTAATCCAACCTCCTTATTTTAAGACGAGGAAACTGAGGCCCAGAAAACAGGTGGAAATAAAAAGGTAAATTTTATCATCCCCCCCAAGTAAGAGAATTAAGCTACAAATTGTCTTAAAAACTCAAAGTTTCAACAAAAAAATAACTAGAATACAAAAATGATTTGTTTCCTTATTCCAGTTAGAAGCAGAACATCATCACACATGCTCAAGAGGCCAGCAGGTGAGAAGGCACTGGGAGACTGCGTCTTCTTTTTATCCCCAACCTGGCGAGCTATTTCCCTCTTCTGGATACAGTGACATGGGAATGGTCATCTCTAAACAGAAGGTGCAACATGGGGCCAATGCTGAAGCCCAGCCTAGTGACAGTACAGATAGATATGCTAGCGAGGTGGGGGCCAGAGCGTACCCCAGTGGGTGGATGAAAACAGGTGTCGTGGAGACCAACAGCCTCTGGGGTGGCATCAGGTGGCCTCTCAGACTACTTCACTAGAGGTCACCTAGGCTGGCAGGATAGCAAGTCCTACGTGGCAGCCAGCCTACTCCCATCCTTTCCCACTCTGACTACCAGACCTGTCATCACACAGCTCTGCCTCCTTCCTAAAGCTCTTCAGAAGGATCACTTGGAGAGAGGCCGGCAGGTTTACCTGATTTGTTGCTTTGGGGAATCCCTCAGGGCTAAAAATGCAGCATGAGGGATGTGTGTGTGTAAGAAGGAGAGACAGACACACAGTCATTGCGAAAGGGAAGAAGTAAGGAGCAGGGTACAGGTTGGCATGGGTGTTTCCTGGAGAGATGGGGTCTGCTTGTGGAACCCCAAACCACACCAAGACTATACGCTGGGTCCAGGGTCTCCGTGAGGCCGTCTGGGAGAATGGAGAATTGGGAAAGATGATAAAGGAGTCACTGTAAGTTGGATTCAACCCCAACCGACACTTGCACACACAACCTCTCGGCCTTGGTTTTCAAGAACACCAGTACAAACTGTGTGGGCCCTGAGCACAGTGCTGGCCTCGGGAGGCCTTCTCAGCCCCTGGCCCTCCACTGTGTTCTGAGGCTGGGCTCCCTCCAGCAGTCCCTGCTGGTACTTGGATTTGTGCCTTCTTGGCAAGAGTCCCTGAGGCAGACTTTATCCTATCTTAAGTTCTCATCTAGAAGTGCAGGACCTAGTGTTTATCTGTCTCCTGCTGTGGGAGAGTCAGAGCAAGACACCAGGCACCTCACTGTCCTGGAAAAGGGGCAAGCCTGAAGCCTGCCTGGTGGGCGGATATGGGCCACCAGCCCCCGTGCCTGAGGCCCTGCAGCACAGGGAGCAGTCACATCCTCCATCCCCGCCCCCCCGCCATGCCCACTGCTCAGAAAACGACCACCTTCATTTTACAGAGATGGGCCTTTCCTCTCCTCAGCCCCTCTCCTCCTCCTCTAACCGGCATTTGCTTTCCCTTTTCCCTCCCCATGCCCACGCCCTCAGTGACCCTCCCTGGGCTAGATCCTGTGAAATTCTGCTGCATCCCCAAACGTTCCTGAGGACAGGCTGTGAGAAGCAGCAGCAGGTATGACCTGGAGAACTCCCGCCCAGCTTTTCCTTCCCACCTGGCGGATGGGCCCTTGTCAGTCAGCCCCAGGAAGATGGGGCTCCCGGATAGGACCTCCCTCCACCAGCTCCTCCAGAGCAACTCTGGGCTCTGGCCAACCGGGGTGTCTGCCCCACAGGCAACAGGAAGAATCAAGCTGGGTCCTCTTCCCGGCTGTGCCCACCATGCTCTCGCTCCCAGCCTTGTGATCCCGGCCCATGCTGCACCAAGCCTGTCCCAGTCGCAAATACCTGGCAGGCTCCAGTGGGGGACAGGCCGGGGGCCACGTGTCACTATGGGACTCCAGGGCGTCAATGAGCCTCTCCCGCAGCGTCTGCACGTCAGCACCAGCCACTGTAAATGAAGAGGGACACGGCGGGAGGGGCGTCAGGAGAGAAGAAGAATGAAGCCCAGGGCCCTGTCAGCTTCACTCACAGAAACAAAGAGCCCAGGGCGCGAGCCAGTTCTGAGAGGAAGAGAGCAGTCAGTCCTTCTCCGTACTAGAGTGGGGGGTGGGGCTGCTCCTGCCGCCCTAAGCAATGCAAGGGGACCCATCCCTCAGAGGGCAGGAGGGTCAGACCTGGGGCTGTGTGGTCTGCCCCTCTGGATGCCAACCCCACTTTGACATGAAAGGTTATTCAGGGAACATGGTGACCCTCTCCCCTTCTGGATGGCCTAAAACGGAGGGGCTTCTTCAGGCTGGCTGGGAAGGACACTTTTAGGACACAGGTTCGGCTTTCACTCGGGGAACCCCTCATCCTGTAGGCCTTGCTGGGCTCTCTTCACCCCAGTAGAAACCCAGGGAAAAGAGGGGGGCCGGGAGAGGAAGACGCTGACGCCAAACGGTCAAGGAGAGCCAGGACACTCACCTGGCAGCGCTGCTCCTGAGCCACTTTTGGAAAAGGCCTTGAAGAACTGGAAGCAAGCACACAGGTACAAGTCAGTAACACGGAGCTAACGCACCACACTCGCGCCAGACGGGTCTGCTTTTAGACCCAGCTACTTACTAAACGGAGCAACTGTGGGCACATGACTCCACTTTTATGAGCCTCAGTTTCTTCAAGTATGAAATCAGAACAGGGAGGTTCTTGCCCTTGGAGCTGGACACCGATTCCTTTCCCTACTGTCCTCACGTCCAATCCCGAGCCCACAGCTCTGAAGCACCGAGAGAGCTGGGGGCAGCAGCTCACACCCTTCACAGAGGTGCACTGTGTCCGTAAAGCACTAGTACCTAACCCCTCATGACTGGAAGACATTTACGGTAAGAGTGAACATGAAGACCATTGCTGTTTTTCCTTGCAGACCCATCTGAAAGAATTAAGTGCAGTCACTTCACACTTCACACCCCGCCCCCCCCCCCCCCGAAAATGTTAGCTGCCCTCTGAGGCCATCTGTTCTTGCTCCTCATCTTGAAAAAGAGCCCAGAGGCTGGTCTCTGTCCACCGAGAACTCCCAGCATGGCTCAGCAGACACTTCCCGAAGGGAGGAGTCTCCAGTTCAGGTCCCACTGACTGGGGGCTTGAGCCCCTGAAGAAACACGTCTTGTTACAGACAGGCCGATTTAACTCATCGCCTTGCCCTCTGTTCCCCTTTATATGACACCCTGGGGCCAGTCTGTCACCTCCTGGGTGAGAGGGCAGAGAGAATAGAGAACTCCTCAGAATCCGGGCTTCTGCCTAAGAGGCAAGAGAGCTGCCAGAGCTCTGGCCTGTGTTCTCCTGGGCTCAGGAGGGAACGAGTTGCCATCCTGACAGACAGCCACTTAACTGCCTGGGGAAGAGCCCGCAGGCTGGGAAGAGGCTCTTCCTGAGGACCCTAACCTCGGGGCCACCTGTAGCTACCGTGGGCCTCCGCCTCCAACAGCATGGCCATCTGGCCTTATCCCAAGCTGGTGGTTGAGTGCCCTGGTGTCTACCAGACCTGGGTTCAAGGCCTGGCTTTACTACGCTCTTACTGTGTCACCTTGGGCAATCCATTAACCTCTCTGAACCTTCTCATTTTTAAGATAAGGATGACACCATCTACCTTGAAGAATCGCTGTGAGGATTCACAGACAATACATCTAAAGTGCTCAGCACCGAACCCGGTGCATACAGTAAGGAATCAATAAATGTTATCATCATCATCATCATCATCATCATCATCCCCTTCCCTTGCTCCTACCTTTTAAACACTAGGAAACACTGATCAGCTAGCATCTGTTTGTTCCAGCCATTTGCAGGTAGAGAACTAAAAAACACCTGCCCCCCTTTCCCACGTGAGGAACAAAGATGCAGAGAAGCCACCCACCTCTCCTCTCCTGCAGCCTTCTCCTGCTCCCTCTGACCTCACTGGACCCAAACTCCAGCTAGCTGCTTTATCCTCTCTCTTTTTAGAACATTAATATAAACTTTTATTCTGGATGAAAACCAGCCACTGATACATGCCACATATATTTATAATAGTGTTCTCTGCACTTATTGAACAAATTTTGAATTAAGAAAATTATGTTATCCTAATATTTGTAAAAATGATCACAAATTTCCTGGACTGTGACATGAGATCAAGTAGACAAAGCACGGTCAGGCATTTATGGACTGATGTTGTTTCTCAGAAACAAAATTTTAAAATGCACCTATTTGGGGTTTGGTTTGCTCACAAATAATAACCCAGAGGATGATCTTTACAGCTGTAGTTATTCACAGTGATGGCGCCCTTGTTTATGTACAGACAGAATAGATTTCAACTTGTTTCCATAGACATAAAAACACTACTGACTTTACGAAGCATTCAACTGTGTGGCTTTCCTATAGCTGGTTATTTTCAGCTACTAAAAAATAACTTTTCTTCGTCAACCACCGGGTCACTGAAATCTGAGCAGGTGCCTTATTAAAAGGGGCTGGCTGGGGCCGGCCTGATGGCATAGTGGTTAAGTTCGCAGGCTCTGCTTCGGTGGCCTGGGGTTCGCCTGTTCGGATCCTGGGGGCGGACCTACGCACCACTCATCAAGCCATGCTGAGGCGGCGTCCCACATTGAGCAACTAGAAGGATGTACAACTATGACATACAACTATCTACTGGGGCTTTGTGGAGAAAAGAAAAGGGGGGGCTGGCATTACCTCCATCAAAAGGCACCCTCCTTGGACCCCAAGTGAACCTTCGGAAGCCATGGGCAGTGTGGAGTCATACAGGAGCCACAGTGAGCAAGAGTGACACAGTGGGATGTAGGGACTCGAAGATTCCCCACCCCATGAGATACAGGGCTACAGAGAAGGCCTCCTGCCCTCCTCCAGTCACCTCTGTGCTGTCACGCAGCCTTCCCTTCTGTCCTCAGAAGCTTCCCATCCACCTTCCAGGACCACGTCACCACCTGAGCTCTGGCTCTCACACCTCACACTCTTTAGGAACTTTTTCCTATCAATTAATCTCTCGTTCATCTTTCCTTTTTTCTGCCAGCTCCTTCCCTATGCCTACAAATTGATTCAAATCCTCCTAATCTGAATTTTTTAAAAAAGAAAGGACAGGAAGGAGGATGGGACTAGAGACAGCCTCCTTCCTTCCTTCTCCAGGTATTGCATTCCCCGGTTCCCCGCACTGCCGCATTTCTCAGCATCTGCTCTCACTCCTCCGACTTCCTGTCTGTTCCTTCCCGTGACCAGCTGGCTGTGGCTGTGCCCCTCCACTCAGCTGACCTCCTCTTTGGCCGACCCAGCAGCCTTCCCAGCCCCCTTTCGCTCCCTCGGCAGTATCCGAGGTCATCACTGCCTGCTTTTCCCCCATGGCCAGGGTTCATCACTTTTTGTGCCACATTTTCCTGACATGCTCCTTCTCCGCTTCATGTCACCACTGTCCCTTAGTTTGCCCGACACTGACAGGGCCTTCCTGGCCACCTTCACAGCCTTCCCCTCGCCCTGGACTCCTCTCCTGTGCTCGCACCCCTCGCCATCTCCTGTCCCAGCCTCTCCTCCAGCCACACCTCAGATTTTGACTCTCTTCTGTTTAAAAAGCTCTGGGTAGCATCGTCACTAATGAAGGGCTCAATCTGTGCTTTTGAATGAATGAGTGAATAAATGAATGAACCCACAAACAAATCTATTGTTTGTATCCCTTGCCAATGGTATCTACTTTGTCTAAATGATTTGCAATCTGCCCCTCCCTCAGGTCCTCACCCATCCTAGACTTCTGTTTCCTCCTGGTGCCCTCCACACAGGTGTTGGGGCACCCCCCCCACACACACACTCTCCAAGACTGAGTCCCCCTCCCCCAACCTGCTCTTCCACCCATGTTCCTTATCTCACCCAGGGACTGCCCCCCTCCCTGTCACCCAGACAGCACCTCCCTCTCCCCAATCCCATCATCCAGTCAGTCCACAGCTCTGTGAATCTGACCTTTGTGATACCTCTTCAGCATCCTCTAGACCAGGGCCCACTACCTGCCTCCTGGCCTACTGCAACAGTCCCTTCCTGTCCTCCTTTCCCGCCCTCAGAAATTTTAATATGCCCAATCTTTTCATTCTCCAACCGTCTTCCTCACTGCCGCTTTGCTGAGTTTTCTAAGGCACAATTCTGGTCTGACCATGTCACTCCTCCACAAATCTCTTCCGTGACTCCCCATGCCAATGAACAGTGCCCCAGCTCACTGCACTCGAGGCCCTGCAGGATCTGACCCCAAACTACCTCCCACTGCCCCACACTCCCTGCACTTCAGCTACAATGGACTTCAACCTGAACTTTCCACCCACCCACCTACCCCCTCCCTGACTGGGAGGGCAGGACTATAGCTTATTCATTTCCACAACCCCCGAGTGCCTGGCACAGTGTCTAGGAGATGGAAGTACTCAAGACATCTGTTTAGTCGAGCAGCGACTCTCTGCCCTTTGATTATCTTGGAAGCTCATGTAAAAGTCACATTAAAATCTAGTCAGGGAGCATTTTTGTCCTCTTATTAAAATGCATCCTTATTAAGTCCGCTGTTGGAACCGTGTGCCCTACCCCAGGAAACCACCATGGCTCCTTGGAAACAGGCAATTAAGACCCAGCTGTGAGTCCTCTTTTCTCCAGGAGCAGTCAGCACCCAGTCCCGTTCCTGTCACCACTTTGCATAGGAGCTTCTGCCTCCCCCCACCCTGGAGCCCCTGGAAGACCTCTGTGTCTCCCCAAAGGCAAGAGACCAGGGGGCATCGGGCAAGTCTTTACCAACCTATCCAGGAGCAACTGCCATCCTGTCGTCCAAGGGAATGCACACTTTTCAGTGGTGACCATCGATGGCACTGAATCCAAGCTTTTAAAACCAGTTTTAAGGAAAATGACCCAGCCTCCAAATATCTTATGGCGAGGATCCACAGGCTTAACCATTCCTACGCTGGAGACTGTCAGTGGAGAAGACGCATGGAAGAGAGCAGGTGACTGCGGAGAGGCGCCCATCTCCTTTCTCCATAGAGAGGCAGAGACCTCTTTCTGGGTCCTGTCTCCCTCCCTGACATCTCACCCTCTAGCAAGAGCCACATAAGGTAACAGCCCAGACCCTGTACCCCTACAAGGTGTCCACACTCCCAGCCTCGAACTCCAAGACCTCCCATTCCTGCGCTCCCTCCTCCCCCGTCCTGCCTCTGCCCTGCACATGAGCCTCTGCTCCAGCCAGACCAGTCTGCTCAACATGCCACACAGTCCCGCCCACATGTGGCCTTTGCTCTCACCTCCTCCCCTGCCCACGCTCCTCTCTCCTAGCCAAACCCCACCCATCCTTCCACACCAAGCGCAAGCCCCCGCCTACAGGAAATCCCTCTCTGACGTGTGAGGGAAAGAGCTCAGTGAGCCCAGGCAAACCCCTCAAGCTTTCACTGTACACACACCACTCACTCACTGCCTGTCAGCGAGCTGGTGAGCTCTGAGTGTCCCTGTGGACAGGACTTTCGTGTCTGGCCTCTCCCACGACGTGCAGTGCTGAGCACCCAGCAAACATTTACTCAACAGCTGCAGATGTTTGGACTGCCTCAAATACAGTGCCCAGAGGAGCTACCACGAGCCCCACAGAGCAATGGGAAGGAAGACAACTCACGTTTACTGAACACCAAGTAACACCGCACAGCGCCGCGGCTCTCTCACACGTGAGATCTCATATCACACTTGGCAACAATCCTATTAGAGAGATATTATCATCCCATTTTTACAGACAAGGAAACTGAGGCCTGTGGCTGGGGCATGGTTAAGTGACTTCCCAAGTTACATACAGTAAGCAGTGGAGCCAGGATTTGAACCCATGTCAATTATCTCCTCAGAATCTTGCAAAGGGAAGACTTCTGTCCTCTCCCAGCCCCATGCCACTGCTCCCTGTAATTGTGATCCCAACCAGGCCTTTGGCCACAAAGGCTCCTATTCCATTACCTGCTGAGGGGCACTCCTTGGCCCATGGTAAAGCCTCTCCCCTTAGAAGTTCCAGCCTCTAGGTCCTCAAGTGCCAGCCAGAACCTGCTGTAAACTAGTCCCTCCCTCCCCTGCCCCTTTGTTTTCTTCCAGCTGGGTTCCAGCCCCAGTCTGATGGGGCCAACCCACCCCTCTGGGCCAGCTGTTTGCTCAACAGGCTGGGCAGGTGGAAGCTCACTGTTTACTCATGGTGACAAGGGGCAGAAGGCAGAGGATAGGGACAATGACACGTCACTGGGGGTGGCCAGACTCCTGTGTGGGCCTGTTCCCAGCACACCAGCCACACTCTCTTCCTCCTATTCAACACGTGTCCTCATCTTAGAGCTCTCACAGCCTTTATGGGTAGGGGTGAGGATAGGCTCCAGTCCCCAGGGGACAGCAGACAGGGCAACAAGTTTCCCTCTCTGGCCTGCTGGCAGCCAGCCCAACCTCTGGGGTCTGCACTGCTTCTAGGAGATCCAGCCAGGATGCCCACAGGCACATCAGGCTCTCAGTGGGCCAGAATCCCTGGAGGTCTGGAATCTGTTTGAGTAGTATTTTCCAAACAACTAGAAGCAACCTAGCAGTAAAAGCAAAATGAATTTTGTGAATCACAGCATTTTGTAAAAATAGAAGAGAAAACATCAGCATGCACTACACGTAGTAAGAATAAATATTGTTTTATGAAACTTCTGTTGTAGTGATAACAGATACAAACCAACTTGTGAATCTCACTGTAAAATGTCTACGTCTTACTGCAGGTCACAGTACAAATGTTTGAAAGCCACTGCGTAGGGCCTGAGAGCGGAGACCCACCAGGAGCATGGACCACCTGCACCTGGACTAGAGTCCTAAGGACGGGCACGGAGCACCTCTCCCTGCAGAAACTGAACTGCAGGCTCCTTGGGAGAGGCGGGGAGGGCACTGCCCAGGGAGGTCACAACACCGGTCTCTGGAGCTCTTAAGAAATGGATAGATGACTACTAGCCCAGCCCAGCCAGGTGTGCCCCTGTGGAGGCAGGGGAAGGTCAAGAAGACTAGCCCAGGGCCCTCCCAGCTCCCTGCCTTGGCCAGCTGGGCGACTAAGGAATGATGAATCACTTGAGGCATCCAGGCTGCGTGTGCTGCGTGACCTGGGTAGGCACTGAGGAACTTCTGGATCTCCCGACTGCCTGGGTCACCTCCTTCATACACACGGAGCCCCAGCCCCTCCTCGGCAGAGACAGAAAACCCCAGGTGCCAGGCCCCACAGAACCCCAACAGGCCGTCCTGACGCGGCCACAGTACAACACTGATCCCTTCCCTGGGGGCTGGGCAGTGGCTGGACCCTGTGCGAGTCCTCACTGAGAGAAGTCCTAGCCTGTGAACGAGGACGCCTGCTGCCAGACTGGTTTCCCACAGCTTCCCACTCAGGGCTGCTCACCCTGGCTCAGCAAAAGAAACAGAGTGCCCTGCCCCCCCACCCCGTACAGTAATTTAGAATATTTTCAGTTATATAACTTGGGTCTGAGGAGAGGGCAATGGCCCTGCCAGGGAGCTCTTTCACTTGAAAGGGACGACTGATAAGCAATCTCTCTGCTGCCACCTCTAAATGATATGGCAGGAGCCGCTGACTCAGCACGCTGTTCCCCAGACCAGCCGGGCCTCAGCTGAACCAGGCCTGGGCCCTGACCCTATGCGCAGCAGGAGTGTAGGAGGGAGCTCCATCGGGCTCTGGAAACCTTGAACCCAGAGGAAGATTTCACTGGGCGTGAGGAACAGAAAGGTCACAGGGAGTTAGAACCAGACATTCTTGGAGGAGCCTTGAGCCTAGCTTTCCAGATGAATTCTCTTGGCATAATTAGCCTGAGATACGGCTCATGGTTCTGCATGGAACTTGAGGTCTCTGAGCTCAGAGATCACTTGTTCCGGGGACAATGCTTGGCCTTTCAGTTTTCAAAGGCATTTCCCGATTATTCTTTGTGGCTATAGAGGAAACTGCTTTTCTGGATGCCATTCTCTTGGGACGAGGCTAATTATTTCTAGCTGGAGGTAGAGAGAGAGAGAGATTCGAATTTGAATTCTCAAATTTGGAAGAGAACTAATTGGATTACAGCCGGGCGTGAGCCCAGGGAGAGTGCTGAGTAGAACTGCACAGCCCTGCCGCTCTGTGCTTTCGAGGGCCTCCTGTCTGAGAGCCTTGGAAGTAGATCAGATGTTAATTAAGCTGCTGATGCCCCGCGGTGAGCAGGCTGGCAGGCAAGGAATCACCAGAGAGGTCCAGCTACTCTCAGCCAGAGCTGGGGTGACGAAGCCCTCATGTGTTGGGTGACTCCCATGATGGGGATCCGTGCTGCCTGAGGCATTGGCATTTTGACCGTGGGGTGAGGCTATCCTGACAGGTCATTTTCAAGCTACCAGGGTTCAAGGCACTTGCCGGATGAGGATGAGGCTTGCCGGTGTCTCTGGGGTCCTTTCCTGGGGGACCATTAGGCCCCCTGAGTCTGATCCTGCCCACGGATGGGTCAGAGCCTGAAGCCTGGTTTTATAGGGTTAGATCAGACCTCTAAGATTAGGTCAGGAGGGAGAGGAATTGGAAGGAGGCCCCCGGGAGCTCTCACCAGCCCAGGAGATGATCACCTCACAGCTGACATCCGCCCACCCCAACATACCCACACAAAGCCCTTTCCCTTATAAAGGGAGAATTTGCCAGACCAAATGAACCTCTTTCTTTTCTGCCTCCCAATTCACATCCCTTTCTGCCTCTAAAACAGGTGTCTCATCAAGCAAAGGGACAGTGCTCCACGGGCTGGGATTTAAACAGATCAAGCCCAGAAGCATCCAAGAACTCCACAGAGCGCAGCAGCCAGGCAGCCGCCAGGGAAGCACGGAGCAGCTGGCAATATGCTCCTCCAGCAGCCCTAGGCCCGCTCTCCCCTCCTTGTCACACACCCTCACAGTTGGGAACCCAGGGATGTTGAAGTCTCTGCAGACTGCGGTGTTGGTCTCGTCAGCACAGTCCAGGGCAGCGAGATTCAGCGCCGGCCTCCAGGCTGAAAGGACAAAAATACTGAGGTACGTAAGAGGGGCTGGCACCTCTGCCCACTTACCTCCCCCATGAACACCCACAGTACATGCCCCTAAAGCTCTGATGAGAAAGGTCACCCTTTCCTCAGAAAAGGACCTCTGAGATAGTCTAGTTATTCTGTATTTAGCCTGTGCTTCGGACACAGTTATACTGCACAAGCAGTGCTGTCTTGAATGGTATCTTTGTTCCTCCATTATTCTGCGGTGGGGGAGGGGCGCAGGGGCTGAAGAAAGATGTGAGATGAGCCTGGCCCTCCTGAGAAAAAGCCCTGAGGTTGCCTCTGTCCCCACTGCCCTCTAGAGACTATCAGTTCCAGAAGGGCGGAGAGCATGCCTGAGGAGGTTTAGAATTCCCCAGTGGACGCTCAGTGAAGGTTTCTGTGGCCAGAAGTACTGGCAGTCAGCCCAGCTTGGGAGGGTAGGACACAGGGTGTTGGGGACTAGCGCCCCAGCAAGAGATGGAGGCAGGAAATCTAGGGGAGGGGGGGAAGGCACTGGAATCTAGGAACCACAGGGAAAGAAGCCCTGAGGCCACAGCCACAGTCTGGAAGGAAATGAACAGCTCCCGGAGGCTAGCTCTCTGGCCCTGCTCCTTCATCAGGCCCCAGGCTGCAAGTCCTCCCTCCGCTGAAACTTCCTGGCAGAGAGGATAATGGCACCGCTCTGGGCCACAGCCCAGGATCTGGGAGACAGAAAACAAACTCATCTACCAGGCAGGCCTCCTGAGCACCTACCAAAGTTCCACATGACCACGAGGCTGCTCCGGATGGAAGGCAAGACATTCACACGCGAAGCCGCAGAAATGGTGAGGTGGCGGTGGGCTGGCGCCACGCCACGCGGCACAGAGCTCTAAAGGAATGTGGACACAGGAGAGACCAGCCCTGGGGACTAAGCATGGGCCTGGCAGGAAAGGTGGAAAGTGAGTGGAACCTTGACAGGGAATTGCATGAGCAATGTGAGGAGGGGAGAGGGCTAACCAGCCTCTGCAAGGGGCTCTGAGAGAGAGGTCTGACTGGAGAGGGGGCTCTCTGGGGAGGCAAGCAGGGGCCAGAGTGTGAGCGCTTGTCTGGAGGGGTCTGGCTGACTCCCACAGCCCCCTGGAGCCACTAGCATCTCTGGGCAGAGGATTGCACGCAGGCTTAGGGGGCCCTAAGCCTCCCCTCTGGAGCAAGATGGGGTGGGGGTGGAGGATTTACACAGGCAGCCCACCCAGTACCCACTAGGTACAGAATACTAATATCTGAATAATATTGCTGAGAATCATGGCTTTGCAGGGACGTCTTACTTCACCCCAGAAACTGTTCCTTATGATGTCTGAAAAAACATGATTTCAGAAGGCTTCAGAGCTCCCAAGAACATTTTATGCCCAAGGAAAGCAGTGTTACCCTTATTTCCAGGAGAAAGATGCAGGAAGAGCCAGGACACCTCCCAGACAACCCCTGACCCATCCCTCAAAGGAAAGGCTCCCAACGGCTCGGAGCAACTAAGCTGGTCCTCCTTGGGCTGACATAAGTGGGGGAACTGGGACTGTGAGGCAGGCCTGAGGCAACACCTACTCCTTTCTCATCCCTACTCCCTCCTCTTTCTTTCTTGCCGGCAATCTACTCCTGGCATTGAAGTTTCTAGAATCCTGGGAGGAGGGAGTGAGTTGGGCGGGGAGGGGTAGTAAATGGAAGCGTTTAGCAGAGACAGGTGAGCCACATCCCATCATGCTATTTCCCCAACTTCCTCAACCCCCCGTCACACCAAACCCCTTTGGGGGGGCTCTCAGCTCCCCTGGCACATGAGGGCAGCAGGTTAAGCTTGTCCAGATATCTGCAAGCTGGCTTGCATCCTTCAGCTTTAAACCTCACTTGCAGAACAGCCTGCACAAAATGGTGGCTATGGTCAGGGTCTGCTCTATGCCAGGCTCAGGACAGCATCCCTCCTGCCCTCCCTGACACCCCGCTCTCCCTTGACCCCTCCCCACCTGCTGGCACCACTGGGTAGGGCAGAGTCGGCAGTCTGCCCACACAGATCTGCTAATCCCAACCAGCCTCCAATCCTGTCCACTCTCCCTCCCAAGTCTCTCCCCCCACCCTCCATCTCCTCTCCTGCCCTGAGTTCTTTACTCCCCTCACCTCTAACCTGCCCTCCACGTCTAGTGGGCTAGTGCAAGTCCTCAGAGCAGCTCCTCTCCAGATACACATCCTATTCCCCTCCCAGCTGAGGTTCCCCTGCGCTCCACCACCAGCCTCCCCAGCCACAAAGTGATCTCTTCTATCCATGGATCTGGTTATGTCGCTCTCCACTCAATATTCTGGGGTGGCTCCCCTTGCCCTTAGAAGAAAACCTTTACCCACAAGCCATTCTTGATCTGGCCCCTGCCCACCCACCCAGCCTTCTCCTACCACTTCCCCAAACTATGTTCCGGGAATGCTGAGGGTTTCCTCCTTCCCTGAGAGCACAGGGCTCTCTCTGCTCTCCAGGCCACTCCCACAGCCACCTTACCCTCCCAGCAAACTCCCATTTGTCAGGTACAACTCAGTGTGAACACGATTTTTCCCCAGGAAGAGCTGCCTTACCAGCCCCAGGCTCAGAGCCCTGCTCATCCCTAAATGTCTTTTCTTTGTTGCCCCCTCACTGCCTAGCTTCCTCATCATCCAGCACAGACTAGGTGCTCAGGGACTGCTGACTGAATTATGCAGTCGACGCAGGCCAGGGGCTGGCTCTCAGCAGCTCCAGTGCTGGAACCTCTGCTCTCAGCCTCAGTCTATCCTCAGGTCCAGGTACGGGGGGGAGGTTAATGCCAGTCACCTGTGAATGCCCAAGAGCAGAGCTGCCCAGGGACAGGGTTTCCCCCCGGATCACAGGCAAGAGCATCCCAGGCCTCCTTTCGATGGCTCATCCCCTGCCCGAGGGAGACCCAGGGAGGGTGAGAAGCACAGATCACCCCCTATGGCCATCTGGCTCACTCTAGGCTTGGCTCCTTCTGTTCTGTATCTGGGGCTCTGGTCACCTTGTTTGGGGAGACCCACAGGCGAGGCCTGGTTGTTCTCAAAAGAATCAGTAAGTCAATTAGACATAACAGCAGAAGAGAAGCAATTTTGTGTCCTTCCGCCAGGGAGGGCCCCTGGCTGGGTGACCAAGGACCACAGGCCTCAACTGCTCCTCTCCTCTCCAAGACTGCAGGCCACCATCCCCACTGCCCGCTGGGGCACGAAGACTCTGAAGGGACAGGCAGGGGAGAGAACAGAAAGCCAGTGTCAGTGAGCACCCCCTGCACACTCCAGATGATCTCACCCACCCCCTTCCCCCCCGACTGGAGGTGGGCATCACTGCCCCCACTTTACAAATGAGGACTGGACTGAGAAGCCGCCATGATGCCCAAGGGCTGCCAGACTCAAACTCACTTTTTTCCTCTCCACCTCACCAGGGTCAGGATGCTACCCTTATATTTCTACCTTTTGCTCCAATCACAACCTTCCCCATGAGAATGGTAAAAACAGTTTTGTCTCCTAGTTACATACCATTCTCTGTAACTAACAACTCAGTCAGTGTCATAGACTCAGCTCTTACTGAGATGACAATGAGATCACACGTACAGAGAGTTCATCTCGTGCCTAATTGATCTAGTTTAATGCTCAAAACTACCCTAAGGGGAAAGTAAGAAGGTATTTATCGTTAGAACTGCTCTCTTGACTATAAAAGAGATATTAGATAGCCGTGCCCAAGACGCACAACCAACCAACTGTGAATCCGGGATCTGAACCCACAGTTTGAGCCTCTCTGCTAGTCTTAAAACAGCCCAAGACAGAGCAGAGTCAACTGCTCTGTTGGCTTCCCAAGCAGGAAACTCCGGGAGGGTGGGGTGCAGAGGCGTGTGAGTAGTGGGGAAAACAGGAACGGTGATGCCTGAAAGTTCTCAGCCCCTTGCTCCTGGAGTCTCTGACTCTTCTCTTCATGCCTTGGTTCCTCATGCCTCCATGAAATGGAGCCGGTGCCTCTTCTTACCTGCCCAGCCCCAGGAGGAGGGGGAGGGGGAGGCTGGGGCCAGTCAGCCTGGGAGAGTCCTGGCTGAGGAATGTTTCTCAGAAATATCAATGTCAATACCTTAATGAGCCATAATGACATATAAAGATCTGGTCTGACACTAATCACTATGGGCCTGACTATTCATCATTCCAGTAACTGCACAAGGAATAGAGAGGACCTTTATCTGACTGCTCCACTGGTAAAGGAAAGCTTCATTTAAGTAAAGTGCACTGCTGTCAAAGAGGAACAGAAATGGGCAAGAGAGGCTTTTTAAAGTGTCAGGTGACTTAAATACCACAACCTGCAGGCCTAACACCAAAAAGATCAGCAGTATCGGTCTAGCCCCATTCTTGGGGAGAAAAAAATTTCCTGCCTAGCAAAGTAATTTCTCTACTGACAACAGAGTAAATGAGCAAATGCAGAGGGAAAGGGTGGGGAGGCAAGTGTAGCCAGGACAGCTGTGGACTTTGGGATGGTGGGTGAGGGGATACCCTGTGGTAAGGGGGTGATGGGCTCCTTCTGGAGAAAAAGGCAGCAACCCCCCCGCACTCACAAGTCCAGGAAGGGGCCCTGGACCCAGAGTCACAAGACTTGCTTACAGCTATAGCTGGCTGAAGCATCGTGAGCTCCACATGTCTCCTCTCTGGGCCTCAGTTTCTTCATGGGTCAAATGAGGGCCAGGATGGATGGTCTGTCATGTCCTTTCCAGCTCTGACTACCAGTTCAGGTGCCAGATGGCAAATAGCACTTGCCAAGAAAAATACCCATGAGGCCTCTGGGTGTAAAGCAAGCCTGAGCCTCCTTTAATAAGGCAGAGGGCAGACCTACCCAAGCCACCAGGAGCCAGCCAGGTCTAGTGGTCAGAACAAGACCCCCTCAGTTCTCCAGGAATCATCCTGACATGAGGTTTTAGCCAGTGATATGCCATCACCACCACATCCCTTCCTCCTTGTTGTAGGCTTCTGGGCAGCGAGGTCACAGGATGGACAAAATGCCTTCCCCACTGCTCACACCTGGCTGACACCCCAGGTCTGAGTTAAGAGGAGCCACAGCACCAGCAGAAGGCTTGGTCACTCACGTTCTCTTTTGGAATCCTGGGAGGCTCATGCCACAGGACTGCGTGAGTGTTCAGGGCCAGGCCCTGTGCTGGGCATCACAGGGGTACAAGTCGGAGAGGTGGTCTACTCCCCGGAGAAGAAAGGGAGGCAAACCAACACTGCTCACGTCACTCAAACAGCCACGCCTTACACTCATCTCCACGGCTCTGCATAGCCGCTCTCCCACCTGAAGCACCCTCCTCCTCCACCCACCTCTCCATCCCCCCAGGCTCTGGAGAGTCAGAAAGAGCGGGGTTCAAGAACCTCCCCCAGCATCTGCATAATCTTGGGCAAGTTACTTATCTGTTAAAAAAAAAAAAAGACTATATCTATGGCTCAGATATTTTCCCATAAACATTATTAATAATAGGGGCCTGTAATGGCCCTTAGCAAAGTGCCTGGCATAAGGCAAGTGTGTAATAAACAACCGCTTGAATGAAGGCCTTTGGTGACCGGATTAGCCCTCTGTGACTTTCCCGTTCCCTGAATTCCCACAATGAGAAATGGCTGAGCCTCTCCTTTGGTCCCTTTCAAACACAGCTTCTTACTCTTGCCAATTTCCCTGCTGTGTATAGCTCATTTCCCCAAAAGCAATGTAAACAATACCCTGCACACAGAGGTCACTCAACAAATATTTGCTGATTGATTAACCAGTGAAGAGGAATGAAGGTCTAAACTGAACACAATCAGTTTCCCGAACATATGGTGAAACAATAAGAGCTGCTCTGGAAGAGAAAGGGCTGAGCCAGGTCCTTAGAAACCAGCGCTCTGCCCACGGCAACAACCGCCCCGGAGAACCTACCCCACAAATCACTGATGAAATGAGCCCTCGCCAGTCAGATTAAATGCCCAAGGCCAGCTAGGCAGGGTTGCAAAAATCTTCTCTCCCCCTGTGACCTTCCATACACTAGCTGCTCCTACCCAAGATATTCTCAAACCACTGGCAGAGGGCAGGGGCCAACTCCCACGGGCCCAGGGTGGTGTGAGAGCAGCCCCCTGCTGGCCCACAACCAAACTTGCTCAAGAAATCTCAGCATACAGAGATGAGTGAGAACAACGCGGGCCTCTCTGCAGGGCCTCACCAGGAAAGACCCCCTTGGACTGGAGTGAGGGCATTCTTCATCATTGCAGGCCAACAGCAGATTCGGCCAGTGCGCTCCCCTGACATTGTTGAGGGGGCTGACCCACCCCCACAGCTCATGGGAGGCCTCGAGTTTCCACCTAAATCTCTCACCTCCCATTGACTGCGACGCATCTCCACAGGCTTTGATGCTTCCATTTTCCTTTCTGAGGTCCAGTTTTGCTTTTGCTTTTCTTTAGAGAAAGACTGTCACTCCATGCACTGGGGAAAAGACCCCTTTGGGAAGCGGCAGCCCTCATCCAGGGGCAGGCTGGGTCAGTATCTGGATTGCAATTCAGTGGAAAACTCTGGGTTTCGAGAGGCCAAATGAGTCAGCTGGAAGCTAATTCCCTCCAACACTCTCAAGATATAAGAATCTTCTAGATTGAGTCCATCTGTGGCCAATAACGACCTCTTCTAGCCTCAAAGCGGAAATCAATCTAGAAATTTTTATGATGTTCAGGCCCACAATGTCCCCTGAACACCTAACGTCCCCTTAGGTGTTCCAATTCCACGGTCAACATTCTTCCTCCCTCCTGCCCTGACCAGATATGTTGACATTGCTGAAATAGTGTGAAGAGGTACTGAGAAACGCACATTCAGGTGATGGGACCACAGAGGCATGCAGACAAGTGCGTACTTGTAAAATGAAGGTAAAATGGTTTACCAGTTTTGTTGAAAAATACCTTTCCAGGACCATATGGCTAACAGATGTTTACCTCTTTCCATGTAGCCACTTCAATAACCACTGTGCAAGCTGCTCAAGGGAGGAGGTAGCCTGAGTCTGAAGACCAACATCTACAAATGCACTATTCTACCATAAACTGTAGAGTTTATCAAGAAATACCAACCGCAGAGCAGGCGAACAATGGTTCCTGTTCTCCCTCCAGGAAAAGGCCTATTCCCTGAGATGCTCACAGTCCTCATTCAGTGACCATTTCAAGTCAGGAGCCCTGCTAGGCTTCAGCACCACAATCAGAAGCAAATCACTACCACCACACCACTCCTGCCCCCCAGATACCCACTCTCTGGGCCAAGCAGAGGTGTGACACCAAAGGGCTCTTTAAATTGTGGGAAGGAAACTCTGAGATGATGTATGTCAAGTACTTATTCAGGAAGGTGTCTGACATATAGTAAGCACTCACTAAACACTAATTACTATTATTAGCATATTTCCTCAGCTCTAAGTCTTAAGTTTTTAAAAATTTTAACATTTCTATGATAGAATTACCCTTTAAAGCTCTATACCTTTAGTGGTCTCCTCACCCCTCTAACCCTCAGGCTGTTAGTAAATGAATGATGTGTCTCACAACTGATGGGACTCTTAGAATCAAGGAAATAATGGTATTAGTGGTCAGAGCAGTGAATGGGAACATGGAGCAAGGGCCACACACACACCAAGAGACTGCCTTCAGTCAGGCCTCTGGGTTTACAGGCTTAAAACAGAAGGGTCTGAGAGGGTGCATGGACAAGGGGAAGAGAGAAAGATGTGGCCCAGAAGCTAACCAGCAGGAGGCAGCAGGTCAGGAGAGGCCTGGAACCGAGACAGGAAAACTCTGCCTCAAAGGTAAAGCTGAGAAAGGAAGTCTATGTACCAGCGGGGTCAACTGGCCGATGGGTGGGGAAAGGGGGGAGCTGGGGGGGGGGCAGAATGAGTGTCAGTTCCTTTTCTCCCCAGCACTGATCCCAGCAGCTGGGGGACTTGGCAGGAAGGCGACATGGGTCCCTGAGGGAGAGAAAGGGGAATGCCACAAGGCTGGACTAGAGGAAGCCCTAAGGTGTCAGCCGAGGAGGACAAAGAAGACCCAGTGGCAGGGATGGGGGCAGTAAGCCGGCAGAGGACCGACAGGGGAAGCAGAGCAGGTCTAGGGGCCCAGGCCGCGGAGAGGGGAGACAAGCTCGGGACACCGCCCAAGGGGAAAAACACAGGGAGGGGCGGCAGCCAAAAATGGAGTTGAGGGATGTAAAACGGAGGAAGCGGGAAGGGCAGAGAAGAAGAGGCGGGCGGAGGCCACGGCAGGGGGCCGCGTGGGAGGGGCCCTCCGCGGGGCAGGTGGAGGGGGGTCGGCCTGGGTGGGACGAGGGGAACGCCCCCCTCCCCTCCGCCCCCGGCTTCTCACCTTTGACGTCGTTGGCCAGCGCCTTCCACGTCGGGGCGAAAGCGATGCAGTGGCCGCACCAGGAGGCGAAGAACTCCACGGCCCAGGCGCTGGCGGAGCCCAGCACGGCGCCGCGCACCGTGTCCGCCTGCAGCAGCGTCAGCGGGTCGGAGGGCGAGTAGAGCGCGGAGCGCGGGGCCGCGCCAGCGCCGGCCACAGCCAGCAGCAGCAGCAGCGACGGCGGCGGCCCCGAGCAGCGGCCGCACCACCCCATCCTTGGCAGCTGCGCCCACCACTGCGCACAAGTTTCGGACGAGTTGGTGCCGGGCGGCGCCGCAGCGCCTGCTGCCTGGGTCCAGGAGGCGGAGCCACGTGGCCCCGCCCCACGGGCCCCGCCCCCGCGCCCGGCCCGCGCACGTGAGGGCG